AATATAATAATAAATATATATTATATTGTAATTATATATATTATATTATAGTATAATATAATATAGTCATAATTTTTAACTATCTACAGTAATTTAACCTCCTAATTTACCAAACACTATTATACTGATTTTGGAACCAGTATAGCTACTATAATTATAGTTTACGAAACACTTAGCTGCTTTTTGTAACAGTTGCTTCTTCCTTCGGCACAGCTAAAAGCAATTTTTCCAAAATTTATAGCACTACCAAACTAAGCCTCTATCTTGTTAGTCTATAAATTCTCCTAAAAACTTAGGCCATGTTTCCTTCACTGGTTTGAATTTTGTTAGTTTGAACCTTTTGATTTGAACAAAAAAATTCAAATTGTGTGGTTTAAATTATAGTTTGAATTGACGTTTAAATGTGTAGTTAAAGTTTTAATTTGAACATAGAATAAAATTCAAATTTGTGTTTAGTATGTGTGAAAAGCAGAGAGTTGACACTTTTTACTGTTCAAAAATGGGTTGAATGGTTGAACTTTAGGGGAAAGCTAAATGCTAAGTTGGACCGTTTAACTCAGTTCAAATGAAGAATATAATTCAAACCGCATGCTTACCAAACGCCAGTTCAAACTGTGTTTACTGTTCAAACTGAATTGAACTGAACTAAACTAAACTAGTGAAATAAACATGATTAAACTATTAAGAGTTGACGATTTAAGCTATATAGTAAGAGGTGGGTAGTAGACTAACAATAATTTTATATTAAATGGAGAGGATAATAAGCATTTGGGTTGGACGATAGGCATTCGTATGCGTAAATATCAATTACATAAGAGATTTTGCCTAGCTTAATGTTGCTAAATAACTTCACTAGTGAGAGTTTGCTTCGTTTGTAAGAGTTGCTAGGTATCAAAAATGATATTCATCATTACTCACAAAAAAGGATTAGACGCCTATATGACTATATCTTACTCCAGTTTAATGAGGTTCGGTTTACCTTTACTAATGATCATTATACCAACATGTGCTATTACCTTTACTCATACAACAACTTGCACAAATAATAATACATTAATGACTTAGGAGTGAGATTCGTGATTATTGACTTAAACAAGAAATTAAACATAATTAGTTAGTGTAAAGTAATCCCAATATATTAAGCACATGACCAAACACATTGTGCTTCCATCTTTACTATTTTGTTAATGGTTTTTAGCCTCCTTTGTCTGTCCAATATGCAAGGAGGGGTCTCTTTTAAAGATTCTAACCAGCTGTATATATCTTTGTCAAATTCTCAATGTATTTGGATGAGGCGACAAGAGGAAATTAAATAAAGTTCTATCTAGACAAAGAGAAAAGAGATTTCTCCACTAAGGAAGGGGAAATTGATTGCGAGAAACTCTGTTCAGTTCATCTTATCATCTACAACCTAAAAAAGGTGCTCTAGCAAAGCATAAGACGTGCTTTGTTCCTAAACCATCCACAAGTGCCTTGTTTTTATTTTTTTTATTTTACATGTAAATTTTATTGGAATGGTTGGACCCCATCATTCCTCCGTACATTCTTCTAGGTAATCTCACTCATGTCAGTATGTGGATAAAAAATTAAGGGACGTTTGGAGGAGGAATTCAGTATGTGGATAAAAAATTAAGGAATGTTTGGAAGAGGGATTCAGTATGTGGATAAAAAATTAAGGGACGTTTGGAAGAGGGATTCGTGACATGATTTGTGATGTGATTCGAATCATAGTTCGTGGTTCGTTACAGTATTTTCTCTCACAAAAAACACATGTAAAACGAGAATAATTCTGAATCATGATTCTGAATCTATGAACTTAACGTCCTCTTAGTCTTCAATTTTCACAACTACATTGCTAGTTACATGATGCTTGTTTTTATTTTTATTTTTTTTTACTTATACTAAGAATAATGATACATTGAAAAAAAAAAATCTACGGTGAACGTCATGAAAGTATTAAATGTATAAATTCTTTGAGTTTCATGATTTTATCAAATATAGTTTTTGGTTTATGATATGTGAGGAAATTTTTTAATGATATTTATTACGATTCTTTAATGATAAATTGTTTTCATGACCCACATTTATTAGGACCTTAAATAGGGAAGAGAGAATAAAAAGGAAAATTCTATGATATGGAATATTACTATATTATGAGCTCAATAGAACTTGAACCATCATATTTGTATCAAATTTTGTTAATTTGATAGGATCATAATATACTATGACGGAGTAAAATATTACTTCGGCTTTATCACGCAATTTCTTCGAGTAAAAACACATTTTTCATGAGCCTTTTTTCCCATATGCCAACATGAGAAATAGTTGTTAAGCTGTTTGAAGATCTAACAAGTACGCTAAAGCTATAAATAAAAGGGAATGTGAACTCAAACAAAATCATGCTTTTGATTGGGACTCTTTTTTTTTTTTAAAGTACCGGAAGCTATCTGTAGTCCTAATCAAAAGCCATGACGGACCACACCCACTTTCCATATATATTAACCAGACTTTGAAAATCGTGGCATATATATGCCACCTAATACTACCTATAGAGGAAATTATTGTAGGTCTACTTAAGGAAAAGCAAATATCATAATTACAAACTAAAGTCCGTTCATTTTACCTATTCGAATTTAAAATTTGAGTTTTATAACAATAAAAAGTCCTTAAAAACAATCATATTTAACTTTTTTATTACAGTAAAAAGCTCTTAAAAACAGTCACATTTAACTTTTTTACTATAGTAAAAAGCTCTCACATAAAGTCACATATTAACTCGAATTAAAAACTCAAATCAGCGAACTAAACGGACCCTAAAATTTTATTAAACATACAATACAACAAGTGCTCCCCCATTTGCCTTGCATATCTAATTGATCTCCTCACACACACAAAAAACAATAAACAAACCGTTAATTTTAAAATCCCAGACACAATCATGCTTAACGTGACCCCACTTGCCAATTCTGCATAAATCATTATTTTGCGCACACACATTCTCTCTAACTTAACACGGTCTCAAAGCAGAATGAAAACCAGCTCCCACAGGCAACACAAGAAAACAAGGCAAGACCAGCAGCTTCAACAGAGATGCGGGAGAGCGTTGTGTTGTAGTTGCAGGCTTAGCGTGTCGTCCTCCGAGGAAGCCGAGAGCTCGAGCTCCTCCGACCGGTTCCCCTCGGTTTCGAGCCTGGCTCACGCCATGGTCCAAGAGAGACTGGATCAGATGATCAGAGAAAAACAGGAGGCGAGACATAACAATAATAATGATGTTGTCGTTGGAGATCAGAGAAGAAGACATAGAAGTAGTCATGAAGTGACTACTGCTAGTACTACTAAGTTTGTGTTAATGGTGGCCATGGAAAAGTGCTCAGACGATCCCAGAGAGGATTTCAGAGAGTCCATGGTGGAGATGATAATGGCGAACCGGATTGAAGAGCCTAAGGATCTTCGAACTCTCTTGAATTATTACGTTTCGATGAATTCGGAGGAGTATCACGGTGATATTTTGGAAGTCTTTCATCAAGTTTGCTCTCGTTTGTTCTTATCTTGTAAAGGCCAATGTTATTGATCATGAGTAATATATGAGATTTAGATGCTCTCTGTTATTAGTATTATCATAAAATCTCCTTTTATGCACTTAAATAATTATTGATTTATATTATGGAAAACTGAAGTCTACGTAAGTAAATTTGGCATTTATTATTTTTGAATGGAAATCAATACTAAAGGCTAACATTCTCTATGTTGTGCGGGATCCATTGAACTTTCCTTATTGATTTTAGAAATTAATGAGAAACAAGGCTTTGGCTTTCGGGTTTAAGTGGCACTTGCCTGGCAAGGATAGGAAGAATGTTAGTTAATTAGATAAAAATAATTTGAATCTCCAGCAGATTATGGAAACAAAGCTTATATATATATATACACACATATATATCTTATGGAAACAAAGTTATACAATGTGAAGATAGACATAATAAGAGTCTTAGGTTTAGGGTAAAAAAGATACAGTAAGAAATGAGATTTGTAGCGAATATTGTATATATGTGCGTGCGCATACTTATCTTAGATAAAAACAATTTGAATCTCCGGCAGATTATGGAAACAAAGCTTATATATACAGTGACAGATTTAAGTACAGCTCAGTGAGAGCTACCGCTTCCACTCAATTTTTTTTGAAAAAAATATTATATACCTTAAAAAATTTTAAAATTTTACACTTAAATCTTCATTGAAATAATATATGCTTCTACTAAAATAAATATATTTTCTTATATACTCCCACTAAGTTTCTACTAAAGTAAAAAGTTATATATATATATATATATATATATATATATATATATATGGGCGCGCATACTAATTATCTTACCAAGTTCGAGTTATTTGAGATAAACCGGCATTAGCAATGATTATTACCATATTACAATTTAAAGCCACTAAAAGAATATTCTATCAACATGATCCCATTTGCATGCCTAGAATGTGCTGCAGTTTTGCTGTCTCGAGATCTGTCAAGTACTCGTAGACTTTGGACCACAAACATAACTAACATCCGAGTTACCTCAGAAGAGAGAAAAAAAAGAAAAAAAAAAAAAGAAACAAGTAGCAAGTAATAATCGGCTTGAATAAGCACGAGATGACATTAAACAAATTACGTTGCTTAGGTGACTCCCTAAAATAAAGAAAAATAAGGGAATTATCTGATTCTATCCGTGGACTGTAAAAAACAGAGTGCGTGTTAAGTTTAATTTGATTAGATATTAATGTGCGTTTGCTTTCCGACTTCAAATCAAATATGTTTAAGGTTTAAGTTTCTAGAACTATGCAAATTACGAAAAATCTCTGACCAAAGCATAAAAGAAAATGAAGCAACGAATATAATTTTGAATCACGATAAGAGCCAATAGATCACTTGAAGACGAGGGGGGAAAAAAAAGAACAAACTATGGGTTTAACGTATAAATAATTTCTTAATAATGTAAAGATTGAAAATTTAATTCCAAAATTTATAAGCATCTAATTATAATAATTAAAAGCAATGAATATACAAAAAGTAAAATAAGTAAATTATGGTCTCGTTTATTTCACCGATTCAAATTTTATTACAGTAAAAAACTCTCATAAACAACCACATTTAATTTTTTTTATTACAGTAAACAATACTAATATAAAATCACATTTTAATTCGAATTAAAAACTCGAATTAACGAACTAAATGGACCTTATAATTTTTAAAGGAAAAAAAGAGCAAATATGACTTGATTTTTGATGTGCATGCAGACTGTACATTCCTAGAAACAACTAATAGAAATGGTAATAGGAATGAAATTAGAATGTGCCGGAATCATAAACTGATTCTTTAATTTGGTTGGAGTTATGGAATGACTTCTAATAGAATGAAATAAATTGCATTTTACCAAAAATACCCTTGAACCTATAACCTTCATCTTAACCAAAAACGTGAACGAACAAACAACCCCAAATTCAGAAAAAATCATTAGGTTATTCCGAACAAGAACAACTCCAAATCTAAAACAATATACTCCTTAGAAAAACAATTATTCAAAGTTTATCACAAATCTGAAAAAAATCAAAACCAAAACACGCCGACAAAGCAAACTTAGAGAAATATATCTAAAAAATTGCAAAGCAACTTCAATGAAAAAGACCGATTATGTGTGTCAAGATAGTGATTGACAATTCTCAATGTCGACGGTGGAGCGACAAAATAAAAAATAAAGAAAAGCTTGAAGCTTGAAGGTGAGCTTCAATGTCAATGGTGGAGCGCTGACGACTCTTGAAGCAAGCTCCGATGTTGTTTGGCGCCCTTGAGAGCACTAGAATGACGCGATCTCCGATGATGCTTGGCGGCGTTCGAAGTGGCATTCGAGGTGGACGCGACTATGATGCTCTGGCGGCACTAAAGGGCTCCAAAGGATGCAAGCTTCGGCGATGTGTGGCGGCGCTCGGCGTGGGCTTTGGAGGTGGACGCTAACTCCGATGATGGCCACCGGTGCTCGACGCAAGCGTCAGAATGGAGTTTCAAGAAATGCTTATGGCTGGATCTGAGCAAAGATGTGGATGGGTTTTGATTTTGGTGTTGTGTGTTGAAGATGAAGAGGGTAGTTAGGGAAAAAGTGATTCCACAAACCTCAGAATAGCAATTCCACTCTCACGGATGAATGGCCTTTCCACCAAAATGGGTGAATGGGCTTTACAATGGAAAGGCCTTTCTGAAGTTAATTTGTTAACCAAACAAGAGATTTAGACTTTAGCAAAGGAATTGTCTTTCCTTTCCTTTCCTTTCCTCCCAACCAAACTTACCCTAAACGTTGTAGCCCGCAGCTTCATAAACTTGAATAAACTCACCCACCAAAATAGTGGGCTGGGCTGGCCTTAGTCATAGGCATATAGTACAGACTTAAAAAGAAAAATGAGATAAATATTTTAAAAGTATTATTAATTTTATTTCTTATTTCTTATTATTTCTTATCACAGCCTGCATGGCACGATTTTATTTCTTATTATTAATCAAATAATTGATTTTATTTCTTATTATTGATTACAACATTTTTAATCAAATAACTATACTGACAAAAAAGTATTAATCAAGAATGAAAAATAAAAATCTAGACCATGTACTCTTAAGGATAAATTTTATAATTTTCTCAATTAAAAATGTATGTAGTAGACAATCTACACGTATTTTTGATAGAAAAAATTACTGAATTTATCTTTAAGAATGCATAGATCTAGATTGTTATTCCTTATTCTTGATTTCTACACCTTTGACTAATATAGTTATTTGACTAAAGGGTATACATTAATCAAAAGTAAAAGATAAAAATCCAATACTCTCATATACTCTAAGTTGGGTATTGGTCCCCTTTTCTCTTTTTATTATTATTATTTTTTCCAAATACATTAATCTTTTATAGAGTTTAATTTAGTTTAGCTTATTTTTTAAGTTTAAAGTACAGACTTAAAAATGTATTTAGTAGAATAGTTGTTGTTGTTGTTTTTTTTTTTTTTTACTTATTTATTTAGAGTTTTGAAATATGAGTACATATTACGTAAGTTGTTGAACTCAATTTTTATTATTTTTTTAAAGAAAACATCACGTGAGTATTAATATAATATAAGACATTAAAGGGTTAAACTAAAGAAAATAGTTATTAAAACATTCGAGTGAAAAGTGTATGAGAAGCCCTCAAGCACAAACAAAGGTAGCTGTTGAGTCCTTCTCTGAACTTAAGTTTCACAAACAATCAAGAAGAAACACAATAATTATAATTTTAGACAACACATAATGACAATACGTAGTGACGAATCTCAGTCGCTATATATTAAGCCAAGAGCGACCAGCATACGAAGGACTTAGGGCTCTTATGACGGCTATGACGGTCCATTTCGTAGTTTCCACCAACGCACGATAGAGAGGTAACTGCAAGAGGGCAAAAACGCAGACGGGAAGGAAAGCCACGCTGTAAACAATACTGGTAGTCCACTGGTTCCTCAGCCGAATGATGAGAACTATCGTCACGGCGAAGGCCATCATCGTATTAAACACCGAGAAGAAGAGGAAAGTGAAGGCCATGATGAGCTTTTGAGGAAGAGGGTGGTAGAAATCACGGAGCTCAAAGGGGGAGGTGAGGATGGAGAGGAACATCACGACCGAAGTCAAGGAGCTGGCGAGTGAGAGGACGTCCATAATTGTGAAGAACAAGAAGAAAGGCTCGTCCAAGAGTATGGGAAACCCCGTCTTCTGGTTCGAGCCTCCAGGGACGGTGTAGGCGGCCGCGAAGGCGACGGTGGCGATGAGAACCGCAATGGCAGAGCACGACTCCGAAGTCCGCTTCATCCAGTCCTGAGCTTCCTTGTGGAGTTTTTTGTGGGTTCGGTGGAACAACTCCCCCGCCGTCTCGGTTTTGTCTTTGTATGGGCTCCGGTGCAGTTCATAGTGTGGCGGGATCATAAGCTTGACTCTCTGCAAAGATTGTATTAATTATCCATCTCTTAAGGTTTGATTGTTAAATTGTGTTTTCTTTCTTTTTAATTAATAATTTGATTATTAATTTATAGAATACCATATGCAAACTACTGAGTTAAATCGGTAAAATTTCTAATTTGTAACGTACTTATGTAATTCTAGGGAACTTATTAACTCGTACCAAAGTTAAATGATGACAGACCTTTGTGACATAATTTATTATTTTTTGCCGAATTAATAAATATATAACATATGAAAAAAACCCCGGTCGATTGAAAAATAATCACAAATAACTGTGACATGAATTAATTAAAGTCCAGTATATATAACTTAGGATTCATAGCATTTCTAATTGGACTTCATAAAAGATCAAGGGCTGATTTCATAAATACCCACAAACTGTCTATCTTAATTTAACTTGTTTCCGAACTTTAGAAAAGGTCCATTTCACCCCTTGATTAACTAGACAAAATCGCTGATCAAAACACTCATTATGTATATAATACTAATAAAATGAGATATACTAATTATAATTTTAAAAAGTGCTCTTTGAATTATTGATTTTAAGTAAATTTATCCCTCAAACTATAAATTTTTTGTCAACTTATCCCCTATTTTTAAAAATTTCAAAAGACAAGTGATACAAAATCAATTCGGAGGGCATATGTGAAATTAACTACATCAGTTCAGGATGTTTAAATTAGTTTTACATTAATTAAGCAATGAAATAAATTATTTTTAAAATAAAAAAGAAAATGTTGGATAGAATACTATCATTTAGTTCGCTGATTCGAGTTGAGATGTGATTTTATGTGAGAGCTTTTTACTGTAGCAAAAAAGTTAGATGTGATTGTTTGTGAGAGCTTTTTACTGTAGCAAAACTCGAATTCTAAACTCGAATCAGTGAAATGAACGGGACCGACACAAAAATATAAAGGTAATAAGTAAATCTAATAGTTGAGAAACAATTAATGCAAATTAAAAAAAAATTAAGATGATAACCTTAAACCATCTCCATTCCTCTTGCAACTGAAGTGCAGGACCAGGCTTATTACTTCCGGTGTAATATTTCATGACTCCAACATGGTGCAATATTGTGTAGTTGTAATCATCGATCCTCCAGACCAACCTTGACATCTGAAATTCCATCTCTCCAACAAGACGAAAGATCTCCAACTGCCGGTACTTAATCGCCACATGCAATATGTTCTGCCCCTTATCACTCACATGCTCAACCGCCTGCGGATACACTCGCAGTATCTCCTTTACAATCTCTACTATTCCCCTGCTTGTTGCGATCAGCAGCGCTGTAGGAGGATTATGCGGCGGAGATGTTTCCTTCCCTTCGGTTTTGCCACTAGTACTTGTACTACTGCCGCCTTCTTTTTTCGTTTTGCAACAACTATCTTCTTCGTCGTCCTCATCGTCTTCATTTACTTCATAAAACTTCAATTGTTGCATTTGGCTTGCTCCGCCTTTTATTCGCTCTCTGTCGTCGTTGTCGTCATCGCTTATGGTTATCGGAATATCGGCCCGATCAGGTGCCACCGAAATCTTGCCAGTACTATCTTGCTTGGACATGCGTATCTCCCATGACACGTCGTCTTCTATTAGCAACTGGGCCAATCTGAAAGCCGATTCGTGCTTTTTCTTTTCGTTGTAGATTTTGCTTATCATAGGCCATCCTCTAGCATGAGAGTTTTGAGAGGGAGGGACAAGCCTTTCCGTACTTTTTTGAATCTTTCTTCGAGCTGCTATTAGTGTAACATGTGGTTAAATTTTGGTAAAAAATTAGCAATGAAGTGAACTTTCGTGGAAACCAACTCCTGTGTCTCGTTATTCTTGTTCCTTTTTATATCTTTTCAATAATATTATGACACGTCAATTAAAAATTTTTTATCATGTCAATTAAAAAATCACGACGTACGTGACATGTTATTATTAGAAAGACACAAAATGAGACTGGAAATAGGAGCATATGAACCCATTCCACTTTCGTGACAAAAGGAAGTCAGAAACACGTATGCCGTATGGCATTTTTTAATTATTATTTTATATATCATTTTAAACCTTAATAAATATATACTTTTACCTATGTACGTACCTCTACTAATTAATCCTCGTTCATGACGGCCACCTGCATCATCATCATAATTTTCACTCGGAATACCTGTACATAACAGGTCCACCATAATTTAATTTATGATATAATCATATATTTATATATTTGTTTGTTGCTAAACTGTTGATAAATCACAAACTAATTGTAATATAAATATAAAGTGATCATGGGTGACATTTTTCAATTAATCACGTCGTAACATTGCCGGCTTAGAACTTAAGCTACACGTTTTCACTTTTGGCTCTGCTCAAAAAGTTATATAACATGAATGATAGTTTATGTTTATGTTTTTTGTTTTTCTAGGTCATAGTGTCTCTGCTCATGAACCATCATGAGACGATTTGGAACTACACAAGGTACCATTAATTAACTTACTCCATTTTGTCACCCTCTTAGTTCAAACAGATTCTGATTAAAATAAGATTGATCACTGCCACAAAAGAGAGATGATTGGGACGAGTACTCGAGTCAAGAATGTGGTAAGATAGGGTAAAGCAAAAGGGGTAAGTTATGTTTTGCACTCTTGCATAGCCTATATAATAAAGGATAGAAGTAAAGATTTATAAGTTGAGGATATTGATAACTATGTATGTGACCACCTACATCTATTCTTGGATCTCATCTCAGAATAGTTTTCATTCAGAATACCTATATACATAAAAGGTGAAGGTGAAACTTTTCAATTAATCATATTAACATTATTTGCTTTGAACCTAAGCCATACGTTTTTAGTTTTAGACTTCATCCTAAAAAGTCTTCTACCATTGAGAGATGGTGTTTTTTGCTTTCTTTTTTTTTTTTTGTTTTTTTTTTTGTTTTTTTTTTGTTTATTATCACAAAAGAGGAAATGATGGTGGCAACTACAATCCCTCTAGTCAAAATCCGCTTGAGTTAAAAAAGTGGCAAAATGGGGTATGACAAAAAAGGATACAGTGTGCATTTTCAAAGAGCCTAAGAAGCTAATTAGAAGTGAAGGTTTATTATAAGTAAGGATGTTATCTCTTAATGGTATAATTAAGGTCATTTGGGGTAAAGCTGTAAAATAGCACTAGTGCAAGGACAAAATGGATACAATATTATATTATAGGTTGTTATAAATTATTGAGGGACAACAAAATTTAACTATCAAACAACGAAATGGCCATACAGTTGTATATTAGTCTGCTAAGTAATCCATGCTTGCTCCCACTCTTGAATGCTGCAGGATTGGTTGAGAGTATCTGAAGTCCTATCATCCCAGTGTTATCTTTTTTCCGCCTCAAACAAGGGTATCTTTCAGCTATTAGAAACGCAAGATCTGCATAATCAACGGTTGAAAAATAAAGCGACATATTATTTATACATTTATAATTCATTGAACAAAATTTCAGTGATTATATTTATAAAAGATTGAAGGGGGTCAAACTTTTAGAAAAAAAAAGCAAGAGATTTAATTTGCAATTTGTGCTAGTAGAAAATTAAAGGGTGCATGTTATCTTCGAAAAAAAAAAAAAAAAAAAAAAAAAACACTACTCACCAAAGAACTCGGCACGGATCGTAACATGGAGAACATTAAGGGAATCCTTCCTGGAGAGATGGTAAGGAACCTCCGAAGTCTCGACTTGATCAGCCAAGAACGTAAACATTTCTTTCTGGCCGCAATACGCTGCTCGGAAGAGAGGTGTTTCGCCAAGGTTGTTTTTCATGGTAAGCAGCCCCAGCTCCCGATCATCTAGAATTTTCTTTGCCAGCTCTTTCATGCCGACGGCAGCCGCCTCGTGAAGAACGGTGTCTCCGAGGGCGTTCGTCTTCTTCAACAAAGCTCTGTTGTGTACCATGCAATTGTAGAGGATCTCTTGTGCAATGTCTTCGCAGCCCATGTGTATTGCTACGTGCAAAGGGGTGTCGCGGGACACCGTCAAGGGCTGATCACTTGGCATTTTGGAGTATAGCCCTTCCACTTTGCTCCACCCATCCTTTTTCATTAAACTTTTGTAGAATTCTTTGAACGTGTCGAAATTTGAATCCATTTCGACAAATATTATATATGCGTTATAGATCATCTATTGCAAAATATTATATATATATATATCATGAGTATTTATATATGCTGGATGAAAGCTTGATAGAATCTGAATACGTTAATAATATTGGTACGTTAGGTAGCTCGTACCCACGTGTAATGCATGGCAAATGCTTTGGCTTTTCAAGTTATCAAGCAAAGAATTATTAGTTTTTTGATTTTGCTCGCTTATAACATTTTTATAAAGTTCTGCCCGAATTTGCGTCACTTTTTGAACCTTGTTCCCAAATTTGAAAATTATCATTCGCTCTCCTGAATTTCAGAGTTTTCTTATATGGGCAAAAGAAACTGGGGTGGCTCTATATTTGAAAGTGGGATGTACTATAGCTTCTTCAGTACAATAGTTCACATTCCTCCAATAAGCTTCACTTGCTTTTGATCTTTTTTCTACTGGAATTGTTACTAACTTTTGTTTCCTATACTAAAGAGAAATCTTCACATTCTTGCCACGCAAAGAATAAAAAAATATTTGTTGTGTGAAAATTTTTGAAAATATTTACCATATATTTATTATATGTATTAGTACCAATAATTACTATTTAGAATAGTCCTCATAATCTTAATCTCGACGATATTTGTAAGTATATTAATTTTTTAAGTAATTCGACCAGAGATTAAAAAGTCATTGTACTATTTTTAAATTTCAAACTGCACTTATATATAATTCAAATAGAGAGGCATAAGGATCATCTTGTTGTGGAGTAGAACTCAAATGAAGTGGGTCACGATATAACATAATTTTTAATACATAGTTACCACATGTCCCGTACCTACTAGTTTTGGCGGGTTTAACAATTATACTACTTAATTATGCTTAATTATGCTTAAATCTAGTTATACCAAACATTTTAATAACAAAATCACTACAACAATAAAGGTCATTTGCGACGACATTATTTGCGACGACATATGTCGTCGCAAATATTTCATTATTTGCGACGACATGTCATCGCAATTAATCCTGTTAAATAAATTAAGCATGTTGTCGCTAATAAGTTCAATGTCGTCGCAAATAGTTTAGGCGCGCAATTTCCAATGACGCTGATTTTTGTCGCCAAAGGGAATCCATTTTTTACGACGACTTGTTGTCGAAAATATCTTATTAGTTGCGACGACACGTGTCGTCGCAAATAATATCACTCTATTTGCGACGATGTCTTCTCTTTATCGTTGCAAATAAGCTATGCACATTTGACCAAGAACAAAGCGGGGGAATGATTATTTGCGACGACATAATGTCGTCGCAAATAATTTCCAGATGTGGGGTATTTGCGACGATTTTTAAATTTATTTGCGACGACAATGTCGTTACAAATAAGTCTGATCTATTATACCCTAACTTCTTCCTCTTCATTTTCCCCCGATTTCAGTCTCTCTCTCTCTCTCCTGCTAACTCTCTCTGCCTCTTCTTCCCCTCACCGCCGCTGCCCCCGCCGCTCGCAGTTTTCTCTCTCTCTTCCATTCTCTTTCTCCCTTTTCTCTCTGTCCCTTCTTTCTCTCTATCCCGATCCCCTCTCTCTTGTTCCCATCTCCAGCCGCCGTTCCAGCCGACCCGCTCCCGCCGCCCCTGCCGCCCCGCTCGAAACAAAATTTCAGGTTAGTTTTTTTGTTGTTTTCTTTTTGTAAATTTTGTTTTTGTTTGGTTACTTGCATTGATTCGAAGAATGTTAGGGATTTTTATGGATTTTTGTTAGGGATTGTTGTTACTTGCCGAGTAAATGGAAGAAGGAAATAGAAAATAGAAAATATTATGGATTTTTGTTCGAGTTTAGTCATTTTTTATGGTTATGAGAATTTAATTAATCGAGAATTGTGTCTATATGATACTCTAGATGTTAATAAAATGTTAATTTTGGTGTTTAAAAATTATGTTCGATGTTTTGTTTTGATGTAGGCGTTTGATTTTTCGCCTTCATCACTGTTTGCACGGTTCTTCCGACGTAATCCTGCTATTTTCAGCCCCCGTTTAGTGGGTTTAAACTTTGTAAGTTTTTTATATTTATTTAGTTTAAAATTGTTGTAGTTTTTAGTTGTATGAATTCGGGATTATGATAACCATATTTGAATTATGATTTTCTTATATTGTTGAAATTTAGTATATGTTTATGATTCTTGTTCTGGGTGGCACATCATGCAGCTATGGTGTGCCGAAATCTTTTAAAGTTATTTTTCTGCAGGTTTTAATTTTTGGATCATATGAAAAATAAGTCGTTATGCTGCGAAACTTTAGTTAGAAAATGAGATTTTTAATAAGTTCATTAAGAAACTTTAATTAATAAAATTTAATTGTGTTAATAAAGAGTAGAATTAAAATTAATTAAACACATTAATAAATTGTTATGTCTGTTGTTGTTTATAGTTCAAATGCCGATTGACAAAAGTTGGACTTATTTGAGGAACCGATTGTCGGATGAATATTGGAATGGGTTATCTGCTTTTATTGACGTCGCTAAAAATTATGCAACTTCAATTGGCCATATCAGTTGTCCTTGTGTGAAATGTAGAAACCATGAAATGCATCTAGTAGAAACTGTGAGAGCGCATATATATCGATTTTGTTTTGATCCATTGTATAGTACATGGATTCACCATGGTGACGTAGAAGCGGTTTCAGGTGTCGACCCAATAGTTAATCAACTAGTAGACGAGATGTTTGCAGTCTTAGAAGATGTTGCTGGGATTAATGATGACAATGAAATGTTGGATGAGACGCATGTGGATCTAGAAGATGCACAGTACGCTGAATTTAAGGATCTACTTTTTGAGCTCCAGGTGGGATTGTATCCGGGCTGCAGTAAGTATTCATCTTTAAATTTCTTAGTGAAATTGATGCATTTAAAAGTGTTATACAAGTGGCCTAATGAGTGTATGGATGCTCTGTTAAATCTATTGAAAGATGCATTCCCGGATGTGAAGTTACCTTCTTCTCATTATGAGTCGAATAAGCTCATGAGTAAACTCGGACTGGGTTACGAAATAATTCATGTTTGCAAGTACGATTGTGCTTTGTTTTGGAAGGAGAACGCTGATCTACAAATGTGTCCCGTATGTAAAATATCCCGTTGGAAGAAAAAAAAGACAATGGGTGCTAAACAAGTGCCGTGGAAAGTACTACGCTATTTTCCGTTAACAGATCGGTTGAAGCGTCTATACGGTTCTCGTCACACAGCTAAAGATATGACGTGACACCAGCGTGGGCGTTCAAATGATAAGGATTTAATGCGTCATCCAGTCGATGGTAATGAATGGAAGGAGGTAGATGAAAAGTATCCTAAGTTTTCACGTGAGCCGAGAAATGTTCGCTTAGGGTTGGCCGCTGATGGTTTCAATCCTTTTGGGAACATGAGCCTCTCATACAGTATGTGGCCCGTGGTTTTAACGACCTATAATTTACCTCCGTGGTTATGCACTAATGATCCTTATAAGATGTTGACATTGTTGATTCTTGGCTCAAATGCACACGGAAAGGATATGGATGTCTTTTTAAGGCCCCTTGTGGATGAGCTAAAAGATTTATGGAATGAAGGAGTAATTGTACGTGACACAGTTTTGAATATATTATTTTAGATGTAGGCTATGTTGCTCATGACAGTTAATGATTTTCCTGCTCGTAGTAGTTTATCTGGATAGAGTGGTCAGGGCTATTTAGCATGCCCAACTTGCAACGATTCAACCCCTTCAAAGAGGATAACAAGTAAGGCTCGTTTTGTTAGCCATCGGCAATGGCTTCCTATTAAACATGGGATGAGAAAAAATAAAAAGTTTGATGGTAAGGTTGAGAAACGACCTCCACCAGCTCAAAAATCTGTTCACCAAATCTTAGCTCAGTTACAAAATGTGTCCCTCAGATTGCTTGGTAAACATGAAAAGTATGGTGGTAAGAAGCAGAAAAGACATGCAAGCGAGCTTAATTGGACAAAGAAGAGTATCTTTTGGGAGTTACCTTATTAGAAGTCATTGTTGTTATGTCACAACTTAGATGTCATGCATATTGAGAAGAATGTATGCGACAGCTTATTGGGCACAATTCTAGACATTGATGGAAAAAGTAAGGATACGGACAAGGCGAGAATTGATATGCAACATATGGGGGTGCGCAAGGAGTTACATTTGTACAAAGACGGTGATCGTTGGATGAAACCACATGCGTCTTATACACTATCTTCAGACGACGGTAAAAAGTTTTGTGACTTTTTAAAGTCAGTAAGGTTTCCTGATGGATTTGCTTCAAATTTAAAGAAAAGCATGATCGAAAGGAAGAATAAAATTACTGGGCTAAAATCACATGAGTGTCACATCATAATGCAACGATTATTGCCAACAGAGATACGACCATTCATGAAGAAAGAGATCGTTGATGTAATAACATAATCAAGTAATTTTTTCGAGTTAATATGCTCAAGGACATTACGAAAAAGTGATTTAGAGAAAGCTCAACAAGATATTGTGCTTATTTTATGCAAGTTAGAAACAAATTTTCCTCCTGCCTTTTTTGACATAATGGTACATTTAGTTATACATTTGCCGGAAGAAGCCATTCGAGGAGGACCAGTTCACTTAAGATGGATGTATCCATTTAAACATTTTCTTGGATCGTTAAAGAAATATGTCAAGAATCGTGCACGTCCTGAGGGTTCGATTGCTGAGGCATACATTGTGAACGAAGCTCTAACTTTTTGTTCATTGTATTTAACTGGAGTTGAAACACGGTTTAACTGACTGGCCAGAAATTGGGTAGACGATGAAGATTGTACTGTTAAAAAGATTTCTATATTCGAAACTCGCTGTCGGCCAATTGGGAAGATGACCCCCATCACTTTGGATACTAATTTGTGAAAGAAAGCTGAGTGGTACATACTACAGAACTGTCCAGAAATTCAGCAGTTCATTGAGTAAGTACT